GTTCATTTTACTTCACTGTAGTTCGTGAATTGTTTTTATTAGCTAGCTTATGGAATTTTTAATAATGTTAGAGAGCACACGAGCGACGTCGCCTCCTCCCATTCTCCTCGCGACTTAACCGTTGGTTTTTGTCGACCATTGTTTTTCAATCACTATGCTATCTAGCCTCAAATCGAACGCGATCGAACCTAATCGAACTAACGAACTCAATCGAGCCCGATCTAACTTAATCGAACGTGTAACTCCTAATTGTCACGATTATTATTCAAAGTGTCACGGTAAAGAGATGTAGTACTTCGAATTCAGTCCGCAGAAGACTGAGAAATGATTTCCGTCAAACCTCGCAACATTTTCGAGGTGGGCCAAAGATTCCAACTGACTTTTAATATCTTTTAAAAGTTGTGACAAAACAACAATTGAAATTTGAAAGAAACCGCGCAATAGATAACTTTAGTAAAAGTTAGCCCATTAAAGATTTTCATTCGTGGTCTGGCAAGTTACGAAAGAAAAAGTAACAGCCACGGATGTGAGTAGAAATTCCCTTACGTTTGATAACTTATCTTCAAAGCGGCTTGCGCGCCAATCATTCAATCGTCTTACCTGAATCCTGGCCTCTCCGATGTTAAGTTCGCGTGCAAGGTCCTCGCGGATCCGGATTCCCGGGAACTTCTCGTTTTCGAATGATTCCTCCAGGCGATCGAGTTGTTCGTTTGTAAACGCTGTCCTTCGACGCCTTTGTCTCGATCTGTCATCTTAAAGAAAGAGAAGTTTTAAGTTGCTTTTACGACGTGAGCTAGATATGTGCTTGAAGCAAGTACGCTGTTTATATTGACATTAGGTGGTGTCGGTCTGAATGAGATACCTAATTTTTTTTTACTGGGGAGAGAGACGTGCATTCGTTTCGGCCTTCTCAATAAATTTAAACCATTCTTCAAGCAAAGTATGACGAACGATCGTTGAAAATGGACGGACGTAAATTGACTTAGAGAGCGGAAAACTTCAGAGCACTGCATGCTGTTCGTTTTGATCAATTCTTCTTTTAAACAGATATTTCTATCCTACTGAAAAACCTAAAACTTGCCGATCCCTTGTGTTTAAAACCATTAGTTACTTACATTCACTTTCCGGCGCCGGTCTTTTCGAGTTCTTTCTTGAAGTCATGATGAAACCAATGAAATTTTGAGTTCCGTGGATGCAAGCAGCGAGCAGCGTTCTCAAAACAGCGATAAGTGAACAACAGAGAGACTCGTTCTGTTTTAAGGCATGTGACGCGCGTTGTTTAATAAAAGGGCGGACACACAAAGTTAAACACACAATAAACGTGTTACTGACTTAATTAGCAAACATTTCTCGCCCCCTATTGTTCCTCACTTGTGAGATTTACCGTTGTTATGCACTAACTTGAACCTAAACTGAACTTATTGTTTTCTATTGTTTGGGTTCAACTTGTAAACTTTCTGCACACATCTAATGTGTTTGTGTTAAATTTTTTTAGTTGACAAAATCGTCCAAGTTTATATCGTCTGTTCTCTAAGTTATGATCAAATTCTTTGTAATCAAGTTTAAGTGGTCAGAAATCAAATAACTCGCGTTGAAAATGTATTTACGCGCTCACAGTGCTAAGTAAATACTTTGTTGATGTCTCAAATTATTTCACGCTAGTCTTTTCCCGACACTCCTTTCCTGGTTTTTCTTGGTTTTAGCGTCACTCTCGTTAATTTTAACCACATCAGTGATTAGGCTCTGGGAGAAAAAAAATCGTTTCGCTTTTACATGCAAATACACCTCTGCCTACTTTTTCCATTATAGCTTATACAATACCTTGAGAGGGAAACTTTTTTCGCGTTTTTTTTTTCTTTTTATAACCCCCAAAAAGAGTTTGCTATGAAATCTAACATTTTTCAAAAAGTGAAACTATTCAAACTAATATCTTAAAAAGCGCGCGAGTTATTTACAAAAAA